TTTTTTTTTTTTTTTTTTTTTTTTTTTTTTTTTTTTTTTGTGTGTGTGGTGTCACAAAAGGATGGGGAAAGCCCAAACAAACCCTACTGTCAATGTGCAGATTAATTGTTTTTGCTTTGAACTAATTCACCTGAGTGCTTGGAAGACCATAGGCCATGCCAGTAAGTGAGCTGTGTGTTGGGCTGCCCGTGGTGTAGCTGCAGGAAGGATCCTGGTTACAGGCAGCAGCTGAAGAGCAGAAGCTGCTGAACTGGGCTCTGTTGCCATTCAACATCTCCCCGGTACCTCTGGCTTGAGGAGGTGTGTTACAAAGAGAGAAGTAGGGGAAAACTTCAGAGGCAGGCATCTGTTTTCTGTGCAATAGCAAAACACCAATGAGTAGTGTATACAAAATACAAATATTTGGATTCCAATTTGTGCAGTGCCACAGAAGTGTTTTAAGTGGCTTGTTGCTCTGGTAGCAAATGAGGTTAGAACTAAAGTAGGAGTGTCTGTCTGTCAAGAGAAGCTTAACAGACATATGGAATGATAAGTTTCAGTACTTCAGTCCTCTAACCTTTAGAAAACTTACTCCAGTTTTGAACTGTAGCTGATCACAATTTACTGTGGAGAACATGCAGAATAAATATTAAAGAGAATGACTGAAAAATAATGATAATGGTGTGAAAGTTTGGCACAGTAACAACAGCAAAAACCTCCTTATGTGGCTGTTTATTTTGGAAAGCAGTTTGGGCAGGGCCCTGCGGCGGGCGGAGGAAGCAAGCAGCCGATTCAATGTGAATGATAGAACAAGCTTCGACTTTATTGAGAGAAATCACACCTTATATAAGCAATCTACAATACACTACTTGCAACTCTATTGGATACATTCAAGAAACTACATTATAATGTCTCAGCCATTGGGTACATTTAAAAGATCACATTATAATACCCCAGCCCCCTGTGGCATTTCTGGTATGCATAAACATTTCCTCCCAGGGCTGTTTCTCATCACCCCCAAGGTCGTTATGCGCCCCCAACTTATCTCTGTGTTCTCACAATAATCCTCCTTAGCACAACTGAGCCCTGGGTCTTCATCCTTATTTACATAACTGTACGCTGGGTTCTTTCCTTTGTTTACCTCAGGTGGCTGGGACCAACTTCTGCAGGGAGCTATGGCTGACCAGCTCCTGCAGGGAGCTATGGCCTTGTTCTGCTAGCCATTCTCCAACAGTTCCCCCTTTTTCTTTTTGTGCAGCTTGCACAAGCATAACCTTACTAATATTTCTCATCATGCAACTATAAGCTATTCTAATAACTATAATGACTAATATTACTATTCCCAACCACCGCAAACCCTCTTGTAAGATATTTTGTAGCCAGGAGGACATTCCAAAAACAGAGTGGAACCATTGGTCCCAGGGACTCTTAACTACCTGTACCTTTTGCAAGTGCTGCTTCATCCATTGCAGTTGACTTTGAATTGATTGACTATGATCAGATAAATTAAAGCAGCACATTCCCTCAAAATCCTGACATCCATGTCCCTGGGCAAGCAAAAGAAAGTCTATGGCAGCTCGATCCTGTAACACAGCATGCCTCAGACTGTCCATATCGCTGGCCATCTCTTGAATAACTCTTGTGGTGACATTAGACTGCTTCACTGCCCAGCAGGCCACCTTCTTAATACTAGCCAGTGCCTGAGCAGTACCTATTGCAGGGATCAAGGAGGCAAAAACTCTCACGGTCATACCCCATATTTCAACTGAATCATCACAATTTCCAGTAAGGGCTGAAAGACTGCGTTTATTATGCAAGTGCATTTGTTTTGCCCACTGACGTAATGCTGGGGCCATGAGAGTCAGGTGACCTATGTAGCAAGGACCACCAAAGGCCCATTGTGGTATGCCTCCCCAGGCTCGGTCCCCGCAAATCAAAAACACTCCATCAAGAAAAGCCTTAGGAGTTCCATTGTTCCATATTGATAATTTTCCATTAGCTTCTGATCCTAATGCCCCTAAACCACTACCGAAGGTACTATTAGTCCCACAATAATCTCCCTTATTCTATTAATTAAATCCTTTGGTATGAGAAGTTACATTGATCCAGCCCAACAAATTATACTGCTTGTGATTATGAATATCTTGTTTAAAATTACCCAACATAAAACACGTTTGAGTCCAATTCTCTGAACTGTTTCCAGTTGCTACAGATCCCAGTAGGTCCAGCTCCTGAGGGTCCCGTGGCAGAGAAGTAGTCAGACCCCTAATAGCTGCAGCTGCAGCTTGAGAGGTGCTGTTGAACTTGCAAGGAGAGATACTGAATGTTTGACAAATTACCTTTGGATTGCCAATGGGTACCCCAAAGAGACAGGTCCTAAAGGGGTCAGCAGAAGAAGCCAGAGACAGGCAGAAATCTTTCTGTCCTGTCTTATTCGCTCAAGTGATCCAAACATTCGTTTTTGGCAACATCATCGGGACAGTTTGTATTACTGGTATCATTGCCAGGAGCATCAGCAACTTTCTGAGCCAGCCTCGTCCATCGGCTGGGAATCCATTGAACACCTGTAGGAGTAATGATACACATATATCCTCTGCCCATGTATTTAACCTCTGCTGGACCCTTCCATATTCCTGTTTCTAGATCTCTATACATTACATACATAGGCTCCCTCTCTTGTTTTCTTACTGTTCCTCCATGAATCATTGCAGGAGGGAGGCCTTGATCAGAAAAAACACACAAGTGATTTAAAACGAAAACAGTTTTCAACAGCTTTTCTGTTACATCTGTAATGTCCTTAAACTTCTGCAAATACTGTTTCAATGTTTGATTTGCTCGTTCCACGATAGCTTGACCGGTTGGCGAATGTGGTATTCCTGTTATGTGCTTTATTCCCCACATCTGACAAAATTTCATAACTCTTTCACTGCAATATGCAGGCCCATTATCAGTTTTAATTGTAACGGGAACTCCCATAACTGCAAAACAACTAGTAAGGTGATGTACTAAATGCAGTGCTCTCTCTCCTGTTTGGGGAGTTGCCCATATATATCTGCTATAAGTATCTCTAGTAACATGCACATATTTCAATCGTCCAAATTCACTGACATGTGTCACATCCATCTGCCATAATTCACAAGGACCTAAACCTCGTGGGTTTACACCAATTCCAAGTCCTGGGCCATGGTGGCTACATGTATCACATGCACGAACAATGCCACGAGCTTCTTCCATGGTGATGTTGAATTGCTGATGTAGTCCTCCAGCGTTCTGATGAAACATGGCATGCGATTCTCTTGCCTTAACAAAGTCACTAACAGGGGCTGCCACAGAAACCAGCCGGTCAGCTCGATCATTACCTTCCCCTAGTCCATCAGTCCATTTATGACTCCTAATATGGATGACAAAATATGATTCTACTCACTGCACAATTGCAGATTTTAATTGCTGTAACAACTCAAAAAGCCTC